AGAAGAAATCATAAACAATAGACTACTTATAAAATTTTTCCAGCAACTTATATTCCACTAGTATACAGAAGATGAACTTATACAGATCAAATACTGGATTACAATGGAAATAACCCACCAACACATAAAAGAAACTGCATACAAAATTCAGAAGAGCCACAGCGCACTAAAACACTCCTGCTTTGAGGAGAATAGATTATAACTATTGTATGACTGTCCTTCAGAAACATGAATATTCACGAGATTTCATTAAAAGATGCCTACACTCAACCCAGCCAACCAATTTTTTAAGTTGGTTGGGTTTAATTTAGCGCATTTAAGTGTCTGTTCACTCAGTACGTTCCACATCATCCAAACGAAGAATATTCTTTTGAGTGAATTTCTTTCAAGTAAATTATTGAACAAATGTTATTATTATTGTAATAATAGTCAGGTGTTCGTATATTTATAAGTAGAATAAGATTACCAACTTAAGATCAGATCAGCTTCGAGATATTGTGATCGGAGTCTCTTCATGCCATTTACATATAGCTGAATTTGTGGTATTAAGACTGACCAATTCAGAACTCTCTATTCACGAAGATCACACTAAGACATTGTCTCTCCTGTCACCATTCTTGAATTAAATACTGTTCTGCCTCCATCCTCCCTAGATGTTCAATTTCCGCCTTTCTCTTTGATATTTCATTTTCCTTTTGTCCTTAAAAATTTTAAGTATTGGTTTTGTAGGGACTCTTTTTGTTTAATTTGTTAGAGGATTTCAGTCCATGATATAATCCTCCAACCAATCAAACAAAAACAATCCCTACAAAACCAATACTTGAAAATTAATCTGATGTTCACTAGACACTTGAGGAGATTTCATCATGAGCAGACATTGGTTAGAGAACCATTGGAAAAACCGGTCAGGGACATCCGTTTCATCCTAGTTTGGGACTCTTCACAGTACGCACACACTGGAGTTCAAAGCCAGGACTTCCAGGCTGCAGGGCCACTAAGACCTGGTCGAATGGCCCATGAATTCCAAAATCTGATAATTCACGATATAGCGTAACTGGCACTGGTCAGTGTCATCGGCGAATATTTATCTTCACACCCGACCTGCTGTACCCCACTGGTCACGACTTCACACGAGAACCCAGGTAACCACCTACTTGAATAGGCCTCGCACGTATTGATGAGGAGTCCCAAACTAGGACGGGACAGCTGTCCAGTACTCCCAGGTTTTACAATAGTTCTCTAACCAATGTCATTTCATGATGAAATCCTGTAACCAATCGAATCCCTGCAAACCAACACTTGAACTTGGTGAGAATTTACTGGAAAGAATATCTTTCATTTAAATCAATAAATGTGAGGTAATTTTTAGTTGATTGTAACTGGTGGTGAGATCCAACATCTGCATTTCATCCAATCTGGGACTCGTTGGCTAGATGTACTGGATGCATGTCATCCAGTGAGTGATTGTGTTCCCACTAAGACCAAAAACATGCACTCTATCTTTGCAAATGTCTAGTCGCCTGGTGGATAGTGCTCACTCACTGGTTGCGGGATTCAGGTACGTCCAGCTGACAAGTCCTAAATAGGATGAAATGTACATCCTATGGATTCCGCTGCTAGTTACCATCATCCATAAGATGACTTCATATTAATCCTTAGACATCGTCGTAGCATCGGTATTGGAAGTCGAAACATGTTCACACACACACAAACACACACACACGGAGATTTTCGGTTCTAAATATTCAATCAACGGGAAATGCAAATTAATCTAAGAATGACAAGTAACCGTGTGAATTAGTGTGAAAACTTTTATCGTGCCTCTTTATTGTTATTTTATTTATTTATTTTAACTAATATGCATATATTTATGTGTTTTATAATAACAAAAAAGAGAAAAATGTTCAAATACATCGGCTTGTCTGATGTGAATACCTATTTTTTTATTGTTTATACTGGTTACTGTGGTAACTTGTCTAAGTTGAACCGGGTGTCACATTTTGATTTTATTTTTTCAAAATTAGTTATTCTTGTAATATACAACTTTGAGAATCATCTCTTTTGTTAGCTGTCACTAGAGTTATTAGCTGTCTGGAGGCAATTGGAAGGTTTCGTGCTTGTTGGCACTCACCAGCAAGGAGTATCTGCAATCTTGAAGGAACATATATCCTTTCTGGGATTCAAATCCCGGTCACTCAGGGAAGCAGTTATAAACGCCACCACTGAGCTATTCGAGCTCTCGGTTAACCTCCTGTGGTGGAGTGCTTCAAAATAACAAATATCCAAGTTTAGTGGTCACATTGCAAATTTGACTGGTAGAATTAGGTCTGCACCAAACCTAGGACTACATAGTGATTAATCACAGTAGCCACTAAAGTCCTACAAGAGGACAGCCACGGGCTTAAACAGCTTAGTGATTACGTCTCTGATTGACGCACTAGATAATTCAAGTTCTGATCTCAGATAGGACATGAGATACTTCAAAGTTGCAGATATGCCTCGCTGGCTGGTGCGTGACAAAAAGCGCAGAACTTATTTCTAAACAAGGCTTCCTACCGATTGCCTCAAATCATCTTACAACAATCTAGAGTGCACGGCAATGGTGAGTCACCTAGCATGGCCACGTTACAGACTTAAGTGATGGAATTCAGTCTGCACCATACAAACGGCTAGACACATTACGTTAGTTATTAACTAGTGTCAAATAGAAAATACTCAGTTTGGCCGGCAGGGTTTTAAACAAATAACACACCTAAGCATTAAATCATTTCAACTGTTTTTTTTATAAATCAACTGGTAGGTAGAATAAGAAATCCACATAAATTTATCCTCAGTAATGAATTTAAATCATTTGAGGTATTATAATATTATTACTCTCATAGGTTCCGAATGGAACATAAGGGCTTAAGCAGCGCATCGCCGTTTCACTGTGTTCTCTGCAGTGGTTTTTACATGTCTCTATGACTGCCCAAAAGGTTTCATTCCCTTCTCACACGATTTCCTCCATGCCAGCCTCGAAATCATGCTCAGCTGGTCGTTTTGTAATTTGGGTTCCCTCGAAGTACTGGCACGCGATGTCACTCAATGATCTCTCCATTTCGTACTGCTTATTTGTAAAACGATAGGTTCTTGACAGGTTCGATGACGCAGTTCCTTGTCGCTTGGTTATCATTTCTGGTCGACTACCTAATTTTCTGCATCAAGCAAAAGGAGCTGTTGACGAAAATATAAGACAGGCAGTTGAAAATGCTTCAGGTGACGCGTCTAATCTCTGAACTAAATAAATGCACTGAATTGATATACGTATTAATGGTTCGGATGTTGTTACTAATACGTATCATTGAAAAAACTCATTCTATCAGATAGCAGGCATTCTTGTAATAATATTTTTCTTCGGTAAATATTTCATATTTAAAAGGTGGAAATGGTTAGAATAAACCAATTTTAGAAAGATGACACTTAATTAAAGATGAAGTGGTCAGAAAAAACAATTTAGACGATTATAATTTTTATAATTTTAAAGGTTTAGAGGGGCGCGAAGTAGTCCGGTTTACACATTCATGTAACGATGGCCAAGGCAAGGAAAGTAACTGCACAAATTTCTTCTGAACACACAGGTTTAGCTTCTTCAGGTGGATTCCTAATGCTTCAGCTGTCTGTAGAAGACGAACTCGTAGAGCAAAATTAAGATCAGTAGGAATGCGATAGATAATTTTAAATGCTGTATTAACATCAACCTTATGCTCACTGTCTACAAGGTGTGCTAAAATAGAGCTAAGAATAGATCTTGTTTGTCCCTTGCTTAACTATGTTGAATGACATTCGGGAATACGATGATGAACCTGCCTAATTAAACGCTGGCTCCTCAGCTGCAGTCAAACTGGTAGATACTATATACTGAAACTATATTGAAATATTTCAAAATCAAATTTCATAAGAATATTTCCTACGGTTTCTAAATATAATTTCAACCGATGTAAAATTGTTAATAAGGGTACAGTTTTTAAACTTTCTTATCTTACTAATTAATTTCTTAGAAAGGAACATCTGAGATGCAGTTTGTCTAGAACATTGACTGCCATACTGAGCAATGCTCCAAAAACAAACCTTCCTTCTTGACACTGATCATTATATATTTATTCTTCGAATACACACGCAACGGGTTTAAAATTTTTGTATTTATTTTATGTTTTATTCCTTTACCTTCACAGTGGAAGATAGGGCTTCAACCTAGGGCTTTGAAGTTTCAGTAGCAGTGGTGTTTATTTTTTACGGGATGGGGTTGCTAGTCCCATGTCCAACCTTTCCTGTTTACCAGTCTTATTACTGGCTTAGCGACGTAAAGGAGCGAGTCCATGGACGGGGATCGAAACCTGAACCATGTGTGGCTTGGTTGGCGAGTATTCTACAACTGTGGCACCGACACACTGGTGTAAAAGGGGTGATGCAACGTCTGTATCAGAGATATGGAATCTATTACTACCAATAAATCAAGATATAAGAAATAATGGAAGTGTATAGACGAAGTTTGAAAGTTATATGGCTGCTTAAGATGAGAATGTGAGCAATAAATTGTGTTTGAAACGTCATCAGTAAATAAATAATGCTGTGCCACTACGTGACATTTATCAAATAAATTTATTTTAGTGGCCTATTCTGTCTCACTTACTGTAATTTTAAGTGACCTCATTAACCGATCTAAGTTTCGTGCTTGCTGACACTCGTCAGTGAGGCATATTAGCTACCATTGAAGGAACTTATATTCCTTTTGGGGGTTCGTCATTCAGTGATACAGTCAGTGATGTTTTCACTGACTTATTCGATCTCTGTGGCTGAATATCCAATATCATGGATGACCTTACATGACATAATTAACTCAAACATTCTACTGGGGTATCCATTACTTGTAGGATATGCTTGGACAATGTTTTTTTCACTATTTTAAAATATGCTTTTTATTTAGTATTCATTATATTTATTTATTTATATATATATTTCAGTAATTGTTGGTGTCCTTATACTAATATTGATCGGTGTACTGATCTATTACTTTCGTCTACGGCATAAACGTTATGAATGCGCCTATGATACAGAAGAAGCTCTGGGAAATAATTTCACATCAGCGGAACACGCCTTACAACAAAAATATCACAATCATCCTGATGTTAAAGCAGAGTTGTATATATAAAAAAAAAGAAGGCCAAAACAGAAACTCTCGCTCTCTTCGTCCATGGTTCTTTCTGTACACTAACAATATTACAACATACTGCTGATAGTTTGAACAGTGGCAGGTAGCATGATGCTTTTATTTAATCTGTTTTACAAAGAACTGCAGATTTACAAATATATATATAATATTCCAGCTATGATTTATCTACACCAACAAAAGTAATCAATAGCCAATCAATAATTGTATATTTAATTATTTGAATGTATATGTATATACAACATATCTAATCGATCTTTGAAAAATCGATATTTCACACTGTGTATAGCTCATAATACTGATAATAATATTTTTATCCTTTCATATTATTATAAATAATCGAGACATATCACCTTCCCTCCCTGGCTTTAATTTTTGTGTACAAAATTAATTTTTTCTTTACTTTCTATTCATTTCCTTTGGCTATCTATTTCTTTACTTTTCAATATAGTTAGGTGTACAGAATTAAAAAAGATAGTTTAGAAGAAAACAAATTCAAATTTTAAATACATACACAAACACCCTTCCATGAAAGCATACATAATCATTAGTAATTCTTCCACTTTTTATTAGTAATATTTACACTATTAAATACAATAATATTGATAATAATAAATATTGATTGATACACTCACTCACTCATCAGTTGTTCAAATTCAAATTTTGAAAAAAAATCAATATCAGTAAACAAGTGAGGAAAGTTTTGCAATTTAATTGAAGGAGACAAAAGGCGGGGAGGGTGGGAGAACTGCTTTTAATGTGACGAACGACAAATCTATGTAAAAGTAAAAATTAACCTTTGTGATTTTATTATACTTTCTTAATTTTACAAGTTTTATATGGAGAAAATATATATAAATGAGTTTTTATATGATTATGCTTGTTTTTTTCCTTCTACTTCGTCTTTTTACCGTTTTTTAAAATCCAGTTTTACTCTCATCTATGGATAGAATCAGGTTCATTTGTTATTGGTACTGTTTCTGTCGAAAAAAAACAGGCGTCTGTTAAGTTCCTCTTTTGAAGTAGTTCAATTTAGGTTTTTCTTTTGTCTCAGTCTATGTCTCCTTGTTTTTCTCTTTTGAAACTTGAACATCATTCAGTTGATTGACTGTTTTCATTGTCAAGAAGTAGGTAAGTCACCTATTCTGTCTGTTTAGAGGGAAAGTAATTAATAGTTGTTCAGGAAGTTCACCAATAGAATAACTTAAAGATCTCTGTAGTCTTGTCTTACCAGTTAGTTGAAGTATTGTTCTGCCTTCATTATTTCCAAAAATTCAACTTTATTCTCCACACAGGAAAACGTTTGACAATAAACAAAGGGACCTTTTTCAGTTTTTGTGAACGAAAGGTGAACTGTACAACTGATACATGACGACATATACAAGTGATTGATTGGTTGGTTCGTATAATTAGTTGCATAATGCCCATATCAACCAGTAGCGGTTGCTAGCCAGGCAGATTGAAGTGATTTAAACACCAGGCGGCAATTTGGCCCACTCTGGAGTTGAGATCGTCAGCGGTATATTGAATTTCACTCGGCTAAATGAGTAGAGTCAAACCAAACCTTCCGATTTTTGGCTAGCTGTATGGGTGACTGGCTATTCCGTACATCTAATTGACGATTTGGCAACTATTTAGTTCAAGGGAGTGAAATTTCACCACAGATTCTTTTAGAAAACGAAATTATTATTAAGATCACAATATGTTTGTGAGCTGCTTGATTTCATAAATGCTAGCTGAAGATTAGCTGGAATACTGCCCGCCCCCTTCCCTGTTAACACCAACTAATATTACATGCTATCCAGACCTGAGCGGTCAAAACACCGGGAGGCGGGTTTGCTCATTTGAGGACGAATTCGTCAGCAGTGTACTCACCTTTTACTCAGCCCAGAATGTCGATTCAATTCAAACCCTCCAAATTCAGGCTAGCTACTCGAGTGAACTGGTTATACATTATTATTATTTTATTTCTTTACTCTCCCAGTGGAACACTGAGCCTCAAGCTAGTGCCTTGAAGTTTCGGTAGCAATGGTATTCATTTTTACAGGATGGGGTTGCTAGCCATTCTCATGCTCAACCTTCCCTCTTTACCAGTCTCATTACTGGCTTGGAGAGGTAAAAGAGTGCGTTGTCGGCCGTGGATCGAACCCCGAATCATCTGCATGGTTGGCCACCGACGCACCGGTTATACATTATGTCATATTTATAATTTCCAGTTCAAGCAACTAAAATATTAGATCTGAAGCTGAGTCATGCCGGCTAGACCGCTGATATAAGCCTCATCCTAGATAGAAGAAACAGCCTTCCGGTGACTAGATCATTTCAATGTTCTACCTAGCAAGCAGTACTGATTAGTGTGGATGGTGTCTACCTACTCATATCAGTTATTCAGTAGTATATAGCGTCGTGCATTCCTATTCCCTTTTTTGACTAGCATTTACAGTATCAAACATATAACACATATAGAATGATTTGAATAACAATTCCAATTTTCAAAGGAAACTGCGGTGAAGTTTCACCTCCTCGAACTGTGTAATCTTTAAATTGCTAAATCTAATTTGCGTTTCACAATAAGTAATGATTAAGAGTAGTAGATATATCAAAATAAAATAGTCAAATATACGAAAAAAAGGATATTATAAATTACAAAATGTATTAACTTTTATGTGATTTCTCGTGAAAAAAAAGATTTACCTGCAGGATCAAAGTAATCACGTTACTATTAGCAACTGTCATTACTCTTAACTGAAATGGATGTGAATTACCACGATACAAATGTCATTTGTCAACAGTCGGCGGTAGTATTGTTTATTTTTTTAAAAGCCTATATTTTGTTTCAAATTTTATTTTCAATCTAAGCAAAGCTGTGGTTGTAGCATGCGGCGGTAGATAGTACACCGAGTTCGTAATGACAAGCTTCTGTTATTCAGTATTGTTGGGTTGTTTTTAGGATTTTACATTTGTGACTTATTTGGTCAAAGTGGTTTGTGTGTGTGAGTACTTTACACACATTGGCTTGCAATCTTCAATATTTACACCTTTTTACAGATACAAAAGTCTACGCGCAAGTGGTCTACTTAATTGTTTTGCATAGAGTGTCTCGTTCAGCTTGAGATATATACTGGTTCTGTGTCCGGATTCTGTGACCGTTGACTTCTCGCTGCAGAGGATGTATTTGGTGGTTGTAGTCACCATAATGAAATTTTATGTCTGATCACTAGTTGTCGTCAGTTAGACAACTTTTGGACAGCTTGGGCAGCTTTTAAGTCCTAGTTTTGGGCTCTTTAGCAGTACGTATTCACTGTTGCAAGGTTATCATGTAAGTCATTCAGCCACTGGGATTCCAACTTCTACCAGTTCGTGGCATATATTGCTACTTACGATTTTATTCGTAGTTACGGTCCTTATCTCTGACGGATTAATTAACTGCTCTTCGAATATAAAGTTTATTGAGCAGCGGCGCACAGTAACATATCTAAGGTTGAAAATATATACGCTAGCAGTTAATTGGTGCCATATACTACTGACTTACTGATATGAGTAGTTTGGTACCACTCACGTGAAACAGTAGTATAACACCAGAAGACAAGGGCCAGGCAACAGATCGTTTATTAAGGAAATCAAAGCATATTTATATATTTTCATGTACATTACTATAGATTAGTTAAACAAACAAACACAGTCTTCTGACTGATTGTTTCTCACTTAAAGTTAATCTTTCATCTCTTTGTGACTGTTTCTTGAATGTCAAATCCTCTATATGTTAACTGTATCCGCCTACGCAAAGTCTGCTGTGGTCGGTTTTTGAATCAGTCTTGTTCATATTTTCTCACGACCACTCTTTAGAACGTAAAAATTAACGTCAATTACTACCTACCAATTTGGCTAGTAGACAGCTCTCATCACAGTAGTACTTAGCAGCTAGCCAGATCGAAGTGTTCTAAACACAGAAAGGCCATTTCGCTCGTTCCCAGTTGAGGCCATCAGGGCTATAGCCAGTTTGTTTTAGCTCAAAGAGCCAAATCAGTTCAAATCATCTGAATTCTGACTGGCCACTTTTGGTGAACTGGCAATACACTGAATCTGGTGTTTAGATCACCTCGATATGGCTGTCTAGTAAGTACTACTGGTTGATGTGAATGACATCCAACTACTCGTATCCGTTGATCAGTACTTTGCATTCATGTTTGACTTGTTGATTCCATTTTGATTCAAATAATAATTTCAGCTTCCGTAGGAAACTGTGATGAAATTGTGTTTTCAACTGTGTAAAATGCAAAACATTTAGAGTTTAATGTCTAGGTGGTGCTATTTCTGTGTAACTGTTAAAGCTCTGTAAACAAACAAATCAATAAGTGTTCTTCAGGTGATAATATCATCAGTGAGTAATTCAAAAATATGACGGAAATATCGATATTTTCGATAGCCTTAAAAGTAACTAGATCCTTATGTACCAAGTGAAAATATGTATTAAGGGAGGCAGTGTTTGTTCATGTGCATCAGTGCTAGAATGCTGGAATACACTCGCCAACGACGCAGGAGGTCCGGGCTTGATTCCAGGCGAATGCACTCCTAAGTATCGCCTCGTCATTTACTAGCCTGTTAGTAAGCCCGGAAAGAAGCGAAGTATGGACATAATGCTGGTAACTTCACCCCATAAAAAGAAATACCAGCACTACTGGAACTCCAGGAACTTTCAGCTCTCTGTTTAACTTGGGAGACAAGGAATGAAAAGCATATATATGTATATATATATTCCGAGGAGATGGAATTTGAGTATTATCGATAGAGAGAGACAGAAGCAGGGAAGTGGAACAATTGTGATGCCTTGAGGACAGGCAATCTATAACGAAATATGTAAACAAACGGATTATTCCATGGTAAAGTATGCGGTAGGGAATAATAATCGTAATAATAATAATAATAAAATGCACCTGCCAATAATCATACAATTTTCGGCATGACTGATTTCTCTAGATGAATGACATTAAGGCAACAAGTAAACGGATATGTTCGTTTTATACAAGTAGCTTAATTAAAAAGTGTGAATTGTTTGTTTACTAAATTACTGTGTAAATATTCATATAAATTCATATTTGAATAGTGTAATGTTATTTGTATATATTTGAATACATTTGTAGCTGGAGTAAGTATTCTGTTCTGTCTTCTGAAATTAATATTATTGTTATTTATACATATTATTGTCCATTCCATATGACCCTAATGGAACTGAAGGTCTTAGTGAAGCAGCTTCATTCCACTTATTCCTCTGAAACTTTGATTTGTAGGTGGCTGATGAGCTCCTCCGATGATATTCTAAATTGTGTTGGACTGGACTATGCGTCAGGTTGTGCGTTGGGAGTGAGAAGACAGGAGTACGTTGAACCACCGATGAGAAGACTGTAGAAGATCTGGATTTCGTGGATGATTTATGTTTAATGTCACACAAACTCGAAGACCTAAAGGCGGAAACTGACAATCTGACTGAAGAGGCTTGTGGCGAAGACAGGACTCCAGGTGAACATAGAGAGAACGGAAGTGATGAAGATAACTGACCAACAGCAACAGCAACAATCATCATCAACGGGAGAGATTTTGACAGAGGTTATTTCCTTCACTTATCCAGCTAGGAGGCACGGTTTCAACCACAGGCAAAAGCCGGCCAGAATCGGAAAGGCGAGATACACCTTCATCAACCGGAAACTAGTTTGGAAATCTTCTGCAGTGCTCGCCGTCAGCATGAAGAACAAGATTCGGAGTTCCAACACAAATGTGGACTTAGCCACTTCTATACGGGTCAGAAACCTGCACTGCGTGCACGTCACGAAAATGATTACAACAGGTGATTGCGGACCTTTATCAACGGCCGACTTCGCT